AACTTCTTTTGGAAAGAATCGATGTCGTTGAACTAACCGGCTATTAGATGATTTGAGTTGTTATATTTAAGTGAAGTAGATATGTGTCGTTCTATATTCGTAATTAACCAGTAAAGCCAAGCATGATTTCTTAAGTCTGAAAGAGAATATAGTCATATTGAATATTTTGTAGTTATGAAAAGTTATATACGCACGTTCAATTAAGAACAGTATAATACAAAATTACTGTCGAGGAGAGCTTTGTTTCGCGAGAAGACATATGGTTCAATCAATCTCAGAAAGTCGTAGATCATATGTGTAATTAGCATTACCAAAGCGTTGTTTATATTGATTCGTTTATTTGTTATGAATTTGAAATTAATTTCATTAGAATAAAAATGTCAATAACATGTGCATCTTACTCGAATGGAAACTACGTAATATTTGGCACGTTTACGCATGTTTACGCGTTACTATCTAAAAATAATATATATAACCTTTTTATATCCAGTTCCTTAAAATACTGAAATATGACTGTATATATATATACATACCTGTATACAGAAATTATTCAAATTGAATAATTTGATTAATTCAAAAAATTGAATAGATTTATATAAAGTTATGAAAATTTGAAATAACTGATCTACTTTTTACTTCATAACTAACATAATACAATTTATGATATTAATGATCCTGATCTATGTATCTTGCAGCAAGATGCCTACCTACAAATTGACTTACTTCCCAGTTAAAGCATTGGGAGAGCCAATCCGTTTTCTTTTGAGCTATGCTGAAATTCCATTTGAAGATGACCGCTTTGATAGAGAAGATTGGCCAAAAATAAAGCCCAGTAAGCTTCAAATTTCAAAAAATTCTATCTTCCTTATTTGTCATTTGCTACTGTAAAACATATTTATACATATAGTATAATGGAGATTATTGTTCACTCTTCATTGCTCTACATGTTAGAAAACAATGGTCATTGTTAAGAAGACAATGCCCTTTGTTCGCTGGCATCAATAAATTAAAATTTGATTCTGTAAAACCAAATGATAATATGAATGTTTTGGAAGCTATAGAATTTGCTGTGATAAACTTTGGAAATTCACATTAATTATTAGATGAAATCTTTCATTTTATTTATTTTATACTTTTAGCTACTCCTTATGGCCAAGTCCCTGTCCTTGAAGTTGATGGAAAGAAAGTTGCTCAATCTGCAGCTATTTCCCGCTACTTGGCTAAACAATGTGGCTTAGCTGGAAAAGATGACTGGGAAGCTCTTTTAATTGATGCCACTGTGGATACCATCCATGATGTCCGTGCAAGTAAGTATCAGTAGTATAAAACTCATGAAACTCTTTGTAACAACTATTCAATTATTCATTAGTTGAAATCCGGTTTAACATGTCATTTAATTAGTACGGATTGAACAACACGTATGTCAACGATAAGTGACAAAAAAAAAAGAAGATTATAACAATGTCTTAATTATAATTTAAATTTCGTAGGACTTGCTGCCTTCCATTACGAAGAGGACGAGGCTTTCAAAGCTGCGAAACGCAAGGTTGCCGACGAGGTAATACCGCTCTATCTGGAACGTTTGGACGCCCAAGTGAAGGATAATGGCGGCTATCTTGTCGGTGGTGCTCTCTCCTGGGCTGATTTAACATTCGTTGCTATCCTCGATTACTTGAACTTCATGAACAGTTCCGATTTGATCGAAAAATACGAAAATCTGAAGCAACTGAAAGAAAAGGTCCTCAATGTGCCTGCTATTAAGAGCTGGGTCGCGAAGCGCCCAGAAAGCGACGCGTAAACTTACAATCTCTTCTTAATTGCTTATGGTTCTATAAACTCTTCACTATAAACTTTTCAACGTGGTTGGAGTTTGTTGTGAAGGATGCATGAACCATCTTGATGGAAGTTTCTTTACGCATGGAATATACTGATCGCTTATAACATTTATAACTTCCAGTTATTAGCGACACTTTTGCCACTTAACTAGGGCTTTTCTTTAGATTGCATCGTTAATAGATGAATAATCGTTACGATAGAAGTCTATATTTGTGTATTCCTACAGAAACCACAGAAATTTATAAACTGTTGATATCGTATTGTGCTTTTGTATTACAGATATAATAAAGATATTATTGTATTAATTTTCTTTTTTTTTTCTTATTACTACTACTCAAAGTCAATTTGGTGATCTTGAAGAGGAAAAGAATCTGAAGTTTAATCAAATCAAATTTTCTGGATATGGTGTTCTATTAAAAAAAACGCAAGTCATAAAAAAAACATAGTTCTTATCAGTATGATAACGTAGGTGTTCTATTATCGTTTTGAGGTCGAGTGTTCCGTTGATTCCATAATTGAACTTGCCTGCAGCAAACAAGATAGAACCGTGTA